TCGCGCGAAGCTTTGGTAGGCTTAGCACGCGACTGCATCATGACTGAGTGTGAGGGAATCAGGAAAGTGCTGGAAACGCTAGGAAAAGTAGCGGAGGACCTCAACTCCGCGGAAAACTTGCTGACTCAAAGGCCACTCGCTATTTATCGGACGCTAAAGCGTGGCGCGAGTAGCCTTAAGCTCATTGATGACCTGGTAGCGATCATGAACGTCCAGCCTGCGCTTCTTGTAAGAGCAGTGAAAGAAATGAAAAACAACTCTAGCAGACCTAAATCTCAGACCATTCAGGTACCATCGGTCGAGCCGGTACCTTCAACGTCCCAGCATCCAGCGATCTCGCAAGAGAACGCCGAAGAGTTTGAAGACGTGGTCTACTTTGCGGATTTCGATCCGATAGCGGCGGCACAAGGCAAGTCCCAAGCACAATTAGTGAGAAATGGGACGAAGGATAATCCCCCTCAGTTTCAGCGCGAAAGGAGGAACTCGTCGCGAATGACAGTGGCATCGAACCTATCTACGTCCAGCAGCCAGTCGCAAGGTAGGTTCAGCGATCGCGACACTCATCCTATGGCGCAGATGTTCGCTGCGATGACCCTGCCGGACGTGGAAACTTTTAGAGAACCACAAGGAAAAGGGTGGGATGAGTTCGTAATGAAATTCAAAATGAAGTACGACGGCTTGGGGTTGCGAAATGAGATGCTAGTGCAATTGTTCTTGTCGAAACTAGGAGGACACCCAAGGATGGTCGCAGAAGCGTTACCACGAAGGATCAGAGAGGGTACTCTAGAGGAAATCATTGAGGCAATGCAGAGTCAGTTTACCGTCCACGACTCTGCAAACCAGATGAAAGCGTACATGGACCTCAAACACCTGAGAATGGGTGGGGACCTAGCCTCATACTGTGTACAGCTGGAAAGGTTAACGCAAAAAGCGTACCCGGATGCGTCAGAGAAGGAGTTATCAAGGACTCGTGCAGGAGAACTGGTGTCACAACTAGTCAGATGGCCGGAGTACTTACAGTTCTTTTCAATGATGGAGAGCGCGCCTAAGGAAATGGCTTACGAATTGGTAAAAACGATGGCACAAAGATGCGTGCGAAGTAAAGAAGTGGCGAACGCAATGCTCCAAAGTACGGATTCCGCGCCAAACACTGGTGTCAAGAGAAACCTATCTGGCAACAAGAACAGAACACAAGTGACGAGTAAGCCCGCTGAACAGACGGATACTCCAAACTCAACCAGAAGAAGGCAACCGCGATGTTACAACTGTAATGGAAGCGGACACTACAGTCGCGAATGTACCAAGCCGAAGGTAACGAAGACGGCGAGAAAGGAGCCTACAGCGGAAGCACCTAAAATTTTCACGACCTCTCTAAATAAATGGATATGCAGCTCTCTCGGGACGGCACCGAACAAGAATGACTTGGTAGGAGAGCAAATGGTCATGAATGTTCGCTTGCTAGGTTTATCTCGGAAAGCCCTCATAGATACAGGTTCTCAGGTCAGCATCATCATACCATTGAATATGCTCATAGCCAGCCGAGACAGCGGATTCGACCTAGATGCAGATGTCGAAGAGCTGCCGATAGACAAGCTTGCACCAGTACATGATGCCTCAGGCAACCAGATGAGCTTCAAGGGAGCCGTCAGACTGACTCTTCAACTGGATAATCGCGTGAAGCACAAAATAGCTCTCTTCGTGATGGCAGGAGGGGATGATATGATTGTGCTCGGTACGAACGCATTATCGAAGCTCGGTCTGAACCTCGCAAACATCAGAAACACTCTGGGTAGTAACAAGTCCGGCAAGTCTCCAAACGGAAAAAAGAAACAGCGATCTGAAGCAGTTACTATCGCGAAGAGAGTGTACGTCGGTCCAGGAGAAACGAAAATGTTGCCGATTTCTCGAAAGGGACCGCCGGAAGAGGGAATCCTCTGGTCTAAATGCGGGATACTCCCCGATATGGTTTGGGACAAACGATGTTGTTCCATAAACGTTCCGGTAACCAACGACTTGTCAGGAGCCAAGCTTTTCCGAGAGGGGGAAGAGATTGGCACATTCGAACCAGCGGAGATAGTCGAGCAACAACCGCTCAGCTATCATGGAAATATGCTGGAACGGACCGCTGCGGAGGTGCATGATAGAGAGGAACACCTGATGAGGTTGTTGGAAAACAACAAGTCGAGCAAGAAGCTTGAGAGGAGCGTGCAGGATCTGATAATACGTCATGCGAATGCTTTTGCAGTCACCGACCAAGAGCTATCGCAGACAGATTTGGTGGAACACGATATAGAAACTGGAGATGCAACACCAATACGGCAAAAACCGCGACCAGTGCCACTCGCAACTCGAGTGGAGCTTCGTCGCATCTTGAACGATCTCCAAGCTAGAAAAGTGATCGAGCCGAGTAAGTCAAGTTGGGCTTCACCCATTGTGCTTGTCCATAAGAAAGATGGATCACTCAGGCTATGCGTAGACTACCGCAAGGTGAATAAAGTCACCAGAGTGGATAGCTACCCGCTGCCGTCGATCGACTCCATCTTGCAGAGCTTGGGAGGGAAGTCGTTCTTTTCGACTCTTGATCTGTCTTCTGGCTACTGGCAGATAAGTCTCTCCGAAGACGCTAAACAAAAATCCGCTTTTGCCACCACGGAAGGTCTCTTTCAATTCCGGGTGTTGCCATTCGGACTATCAGCGTCTCCTCCAGTTTTCCAGAGGTTGATGCATAACGTCTTGGGCGCTCTTTTGGAGAGCGGAGAGGTGTTTTGCTATCTGGATGATATTATCGTAGCTACGGATTCAGTCGAGAGGCAAGTGATCATGCTTGAGAGAGTCTTCGAAAAGCTGGAAGAGGCAGGACTCAAACTAAACCCGAGGAAATGCGTGCTGTTTGAAAGGAAGGTGGAGTTTCTTGGTCACGTCATAGACCAAGATGGCTTACACATGGACCCGACTAAGATAGAGGCGATTCTGAAATACCCCTTACCGCAGTCGCGTTCACACCTCCGAACCTTCCTTGGAATGTGTTCATACTATAGAAAATTCGTGCTCGGCTTTTCTAAAGTAGCGGGCCCCCTGCATGAGCTAACCTCGGAGAAGAAAAAGTTTGAATGGACTACGGAGACGAAAGCAAGCTTCGAAAAACTAAAAAGGATCATTACCAAAGCACCAGTCCTCGCTCAACCGGATATTGAAGGCGCGCGAAGTGGGATGAAACCTTCAAGATCCACACAGATGCCAGCCAACAAGGCCTGGGTGCAGTCCTTAGCCAAGAAGGAGACGACGGGTTACTGCACCCGATCTTTTTCGCATCAAAAGGCCTAACAAGCTGCGAGAAAAAGTATCATGTCACGGACCTCGAGGCTCTGGCTGTGGTGTTTGCCCTAAGAAAGTTCCACATGTTCGTCTATGGTCTACCCGTAGAGGTGTATACAGATCATCAGGCACTGACAGCGATCTTCAAGCGCACGAACGTCTCAGATAGAGTGCTACGGTGGGCACTTGAACTGCAGAAATATAATTTGAAGATCGTCTATTTGAAAGGTGCCGCAAATAGAGTAGCAGACGCGCTGAGTCGCGGAGCAACGTGCGAACAGGAGCATCGCGCGGATGGAGCGGACACCATGCCAAACGAGCTTATCGTAGCCTGTGCTGGTGAGGAAACCCAGTGGACCAGGGAACTACGCGAAACGCCGGCGTACAAAAAGATCATCGAAAGCCTGGAGAAGGGTGAGGTAGATGGTAAGGTAGCGTTCCCGGAGTCGTCGGTAAAGTTCAGAGTAGCTGATTTTATAATGAACCAAGGCTACTTAACGCTGGTGGATAAGGACCATTTGCGCAAAGTTGTGCCGCCATCGGAGAGGAAGAAAATCTTCCATGAGGCGCACTATGGGATACTGGCGGGGCACTTTGGCCCTAAGAAGGTGTGGCGTGAGCTTTGTAAAAGATATTTTTGGGAAACAATGCGACGAGACGTCTGGCTATGGTCAGAAGAATGTCGTGAATGCTTGTGCCACAATACGCAACGCGCAATGGTTCCCCCACTGAAACCGATAGTGACTAGTAAGCCATTCGAGATTGTCGGTATGGATATACTAGAAATGGGACCCACAACAGAAGGTAACCGCTATATCCTAACGGTAGTTGACCATTTCTCAAAATTTGCCGGGGCTTACGCGATTCCATCCAAATCCGCATCAGTCGTAGCTCGAGTCTTTTTCGAACGGTGGTTGGCAGAAGGCGGTCGCCAGCCGAAATGTATCCTATCGGACCAAGGAGGAGAGTTCGAAAACAAGCTGATGGAGGATAAGGAAGCTGATGGGATGTGAGCAGGTGTTTACCAAAGGCTATAACCCGCGTGAGAACGGCATCACCGAGCGATTCAATCAAACAATCATTGCAATGCTACGGAAGAAAGTGCAAGTGGCGGTAGAGTGGGACAAAATCCTCCCAGCATGCGTTTTTGCTTACAACACTACCGTCCACGAATCCACGGGAGAGTCGCCTTTCTTCCTATTGCATGGATTTGACGCGCACGTCCCCTGGGATGTAGCCGGAACTGAAATCAGCAAATACGCCGTGGACCTGGACAGTTACGTGCAGGAATTGGCGGTTGGCACACAGATTGCCCGTGAGTACGCCCGAGGAGTGAACGAGAAAATGCGAGAGCAAATGAAAGCCTCGTACGATCGCGAGAAAGGAGTTGACTCGCGTCCTGTTCCTCCGCAGATAGGCGACCGAGTATATATGAAGATACCGGGAGAGCGGCAATCTTATCGCAACCCTAAACTAGCTAATCCCTGGGAGGGGCCCTATCGGGTGTTGGACACCAGCAGCAATAGCGCGCTGATCACACTCATAGGTGCGAATGAAGAGCCTGTTAGAGTGCCTTTTGACCTGCTGAGAAAACTGCCCCGGGGAATATCCGATGAACCCCTTAGAACTAGAAAGAGTAGGGAAAAAGGGGACGCCCGCGCAAGAAACCCACATCTGATCCAGTAATGTGTGGCTCAACTTACTATTGCAGGACGCTGATCGAGGCCAACGATCCACTTCATCTTCGATTTCGATGTGAATGCGGCCTCTTTGGGCAAATGGCCCACGTCGCGCTGCCTGGCCTAACACACGCCATGGCCCGATCGAAGAAAGTAATGGACATGTTCCAGTTAGCCAATGTCGCGTCCGTCTCAGAGGAGCAATGTTGGGGCGACGAGAAGAAGGAGACTGAATTGAGGAGGAAAAACTCACAGTTTATCACCTCCTATGGATTGGCGCTGGCCATGGATGGACATCGCCGTCGTTGCCAATTATATGCCAAGAGGCTCGCCGCCGCGAAGGGGGTACGTTACGAACACCCCGCAATTTTTCCGTGGGCAGTGCACTACAATTTGAGTGAAATTGTCATGGAAGCTATCTCTATGCTGGAGCAGCTGGAATCTCCAGCCCCTGCAAGAAGTACAGAGAGAGACGTCTTCATTGCAGTGCCGGTGGCCTTCGCAAAGGTAAACGCCGAGATCGGATATGAGGATAATATCACTGTTTACATCTACACGGATTTCGGCACACTCGCTAATAAGCTACTGAACCACGCGATCACCAAGAGCATTATCGTCATTTGGCCGCAGACAATGCCCGAGAGCCGGCCCATGAGGCAACTTCTCATCAGCCTGGAAAGACATCTAGCCGACGGAGGGGCGCTCGCATTTTTCCCGTTCCCATACGAGGATTCTAATGCAGCCGAATGGAGGAGAATGGGCGAAGTGTGTAGAGAATTCACGCGTTACATCACGGATCCCCGAAGAAACTTCGAAGCTTTGGTACGAGATCATTATTCGGATGTGTTAGACGCTGCCCCTTACACCCATCCCGCGGTCTGCTTGGGTACCACACCCCGACGCAACTCCACTTCGACCTTAACGGACAAGCAGATGCTGCTGTTTCTTGAGAAGATGCGCATCACCATTGCCGACCTCATTCGTCTCCCTGAGTTCGACTTCGCATCAACTCAGCTGAGGGAACAGCGGGCTCGCGAGAAAGCGCGCGCTAGGAAGCGTCGTAGGGAAGAGAGGATGCCCAATTTCTGGGTCATCGAAGACCCGCAGAGGAAGCGCCATCAGCAGCCCATAACGTTCCATCCCACACCTACCAACAGTCGACATGCCAGCCCCCCACGCCGCCGTGAAGGATCCGGCAGCCATCGTCGTAGTCCGCCACGCCGCATCGTCGTAGTCCGCCACGCCGCTCTCACTCCCATATTCGTGTACGCAGTGGAAGCCGTCGCCCACTTGGTCGCCCGCCGCTCGAAAACCGTGGTCCCATTTCACGTCAACAACCTCAGAGTCGGGACGACTCTCGCCGTCGCCGAGGCATGTGAAGGAAATGAGGGATCAAGTGATCTGAACAGTTTTGAATGGTGCTGTACTTTTCCTTATCATGATCTTGCTTATCTTATCTTATCTGGTATTGTGTATCAGGCACGTGGCGGCATGCGTATCCTCCCGGCCGCTATATAAAGCGGTTCCGCTCGGCTAAAATCACTTTTGTCTTCGGGTTACCTAGCGTGCGGACCAATCAAGCAGCCGAGCCGAGAGGAGACGCAAGCCACCAAGCGCCTGGAGGAGGATCTTCAATAAAAGGATTTGCAACACACCCCTAGATACCACGCCGAGCCCCCGCGATAGCGCCAAGAGTAGGCCAACTATTGCGTGACTCTTACACTTTGTTCGCAGTGCCACGAATTCAGGGAATGTCTTCTCGTAGTACTCTTCCAAAGCTCGCATATACTTGCTGTAGGAGATCAACCAGTTGATTGAAGGAAAATGCTTTCGTTGAGCCAACTTCTTATCCAAACCCCAGAACACCTGCACGATACCTAGGGTAGCGGAAGTAACCGGGTCTGCGAAGTCACCACCAGGAGGTGACACAGCCCCGACAATTGTGACCGATCCTTCACGTTCGGGACTTCCAAGGCATTTCACCTTGCCAGCACGTTCATAGAAGGAAGCCAATCGAGCAGCCAAGTAAGCCGGGTACCCTGAATCGGCAGGCATTTCACCCAGTCGACCAGAAATCTCACGAAGGGCTTCTGCCCAACGGGACGTTGAGTCAGCCATCATAGCAACGTGTAGCCCCATATTGCGGAAGTATTCGGCTAAGGTGATTCCTGTGTAGATGGAATCTTCTCGAGCAGCTACAGGCATATTGGAAGTGTTTGCTACCAGAGCTGTTCGCTTCATGATTGAGGTTGTGACTCCTTCGACTTCCATAGTCAGCTCAGGAAAGTCTCGCAATACCTCAGACATTTCATTTCCACGCTCACCGCATCCGACGTAGATAATGGCATCGGAGTTGGAGAATTTGGACAGGGATTGGGAGATTACAGTCTTTCCACAGCCGAAGGCGCCGGGAATTGCCGTGGTTCCTCCTTGTACACATGGGAAAAGTGCATCCAACACTCTTTGTCCACACAGCAGCGGGAAATTGGCAGCAAGTTTCTCAGCACATGGACGGGGCTTTCGTACGGGCCAGATCTGAAGCATCGTGAGTTTTTCTTTGTTACCTTCGAACTCCAGTTCAAGCAGCACATCTTCGATAGTGTATTGACCAGACGGGGCAACGTAAGTAACGGTACCGCAGGAGTTTGGTGGTATCATAATTTTATGTTTGATCAGTAGATTTTCTTGTACAGATCCGATCACATCTCCTCCAGTCACATGGGATCCGACAGTAATCTCCTTATTTGCAGTGTAGTCCCATCGATTATCACGAGACAACGCACGAGTTGACACTCCTTTCGGAATGTAAATTGACTTTGTCATATCGGCGATTTCTTTCAAAGGACGTTGAATTCCGTCAAAAATCGCACCCATGATTCCAGGGCCGAGTTCGACAGACAGCGGTTTTCCGGTTCTAAGACGGGATCGCCAATCGTAACGGATGAAGTCTCTTCGTAAACTTGAATCGTTGCAAAATCGCCTTCCAGACGAATGATTTCGCCTACCAGTTCGGAGTGACCGACACGGACCAGCTCGTACATCGCTAATCCTGCCATCTTTTCGGCTGTCACCACAGGGCCAGACACTCCGTAAACGAATCCATAGGTGCCCTCCGAGACCGGGCCATCGGGAATTTGAGCCATTGGAGCCATAGCAAATCTAAAACAAAACAGGTAAGTCTACGCGCAATTGACCTTCCAGTTTCTATATTGACAAGATTCAAAAATTAGTAACATCGGAAGAGCGAAATATGGTGGATTAATAGTTGATACCACATTGTAACAAATTATCGGGAATCGAATGAACGATGAATTCTGATTGATGTGCAAGTCGTGCGAGATCCATTTTTTTGTCTTGAGATCATTGCCGTGAACTTAATGATATTATAGGAAGCTAATAAATTCCTCAATAATTAAATGTCTAGTGAAGGCACTGTTGTGTCTTGAGAATGGCAAGTTCGTGGTAGCGCTGCATTTATAAATGCTGTTCCTCTTGCAAAAAGCAGCTGTAAAGAGATTATGTGCATAGTTATTTCAACACCAAGACGAGCAAACGATGCCAAACGCGGAACTAATCTCTATGTTGCATTTTCATTCTCATAAGAGAAACTTTGAGGTTTGGAAAACAAAAGCACAAAATAATGTGTAATGGATTCTGGTGTTGTTTTTATCCTGTACCTTTGGAATCTGTCTAGTATTCGGTTCTTCAAGTAGATACATGACAATTTTTTTTGTTCTGACAACTCAGATCACCCCACAGCTAAACTGTTGCGTCTCTTTTTAAGAAGGTTTACAATACAAATTGCTAAATGTTGTCAATGCTCCCACAAAATATGTAGGAGCATTGATAGCAAAATCTCCTTATTGTTAGGTGTGTATGTTTGAAGTTCAGTCCACATGAATAAAGACAAAGCAACATACGTTCTAAAATACATACACATCATGTGAAGGGAGGAATGTCTCTAAAATAAGCGTTTGCAATTACAAAGCTGAGTATAGTCTCAACTTTTGATATGAAGGAGTTGAATTCTAGTTTTTCCAGAGTAGAGTTTCTATATATTCAAATGGAAGCTCAACAATATAATCTGGGATTCATGTATTACAATTTTAAGGACTTTTCGGAATGGTGTGTTACCTCTCTTGGAAGCATGGGGAATCAGCATTGTTACTCAGTAAGTCTTGGAAAACTGCTTCGGAATTTTGCTATGAAAGAACTGTTGCCTATCATTGCTCCATAATCGTCTTGTTAGTGATGACAAGGTTGAAAATTCTGATAAGATGTTCAACGCAACTGATTTGCTCGGCACTATATTTTTTTGAGAAATTTTTTTTCTGTGTAAGATTTTATGGATTTTGCAAATGGCAGACTGATTGCAATTTTCTGTACTCTCAAAAGACACCGGCCGTCGTGCGAATTTCTCTGCAAATGAAGTGACTTCAGAATGAATGTGTGATTTTTTCCGCGCAAAGTAGAGCAGTTTCTCTCTAAAATCACCAAACATTTCATAGCATATCAATGGAAACCAGGACCTGGCACCAGCTGGCACGGGCAAGCTGGATATCGTTTTTGGGACAAAAAACAAAGGGGATATCGTTTTTGTCGACAAGCGGCGTTTTTTTTAGTCGTCGTTTCGTTTTTTGGGAGTTCTTTTAGGTTTAGGGTTTAGGGTCAAGGTGGTTCGTAAAACTTAGCGAAAATCAAGGGGGACCTCGTTTTGGAAATTCCCTGGTGCCAGCTCGTGCCGAGCTCTGATGGGAACTGCTATCTGGCCTCCAAAAGGTTCTTCCGAGTTCGCAGGAGGAGTAGGAAGGATGTAAGGGCATGTGAGCAACATATTTCCTGCTGGCTCAGTGAATTTTTTGTGTAATTTTTTTCCTATGTGAGATTCTATTTTTGCAAATGGCAGATTGATTGAAATTGTCCGCACTCTTAAAACTACTCAAGAAGTGAAAAAGACGCCTTTACCGTTCGGACTTCAAGGATAAGACTAAGTTAAGGAAAAAATAATAAACTTGACTGACCTAGCTGTGATTCAGCTGCAGCAGTAACAGGGAGTATGCTGCAGACTTGGACTTGCCAAACTCTTTTTTATTTGTTTTTTAAAAAGGAGATGAGAGATTATTCACCAAACAGATGTGAGTTGTGAAGATGAAAATGCTTAAAAAGTTGTTCTGCACAAATTGTACTTTGGCTCGGGTCACAGATGTCAAAGTAGCTCTCCCCTCACCAATTCCTCCGCTAATTACCACCTTATTATCCGAAATGACCAAGTAGTTTAGTCTCAACATTGTGGCAACTCACATTGCCGACATAGAGCAGTATTGTGCTAATCCCTGCTAACATGGAAATGAGGAGCGGCGCAGGACCCTCAAACTTTCGTGCCTCCAACAAAACCTCCACGAATAAAGATTCATCTGCAGAGATTTGCAAGCTTTCATTGCAAAATGCATGGTTTGAAATAGCACGGTCACCGGAATGGACTAGACACATGTTCACATAAAGTTCTGTACGGACACTTCATACCATTCGCTACCAATCCTTACATATCAGGAACGAGCAACGCAGTGTAGGAACGTAGTTACGTACAATGACGGCCATGAAGTTGCGAACAAGCCCCCATTCTTTTTTCATCGCTCATTTTTGGATGGAAAACAAAGATACAAAAATGATTGGATTGCATGATGTGATAGAGCTCTTCAAGTACTGCAACTCACACGTTACAATTCCTGAAAAACATGTATCTCAAAAATTGAGATTTTTTTTGTAAAAAAAGTGCGAAAATGGCCGCGTCACAATGTCGCGGACAATAATCCTTCGAACGCAAAAATTTTCTTCTAGGTCTTTTGTTGGAGTAAAAACATAAGTTTTCCGGATAGGTAAGCATACTGTATCATAGAGCTCATCGAGGACAATAATCAGATAGTGATAACTTCCAAAAGAAAACACAAATTTGAATTGTGTTTGATTATTTTTAAAAAATAACTTCTAATTCTTCTAATTTCCTTCTTCAAGCCAAATTTCTTCACATGAAAACTTATTCAAGACGTCTTAATAAAGCTGCTCAGATTAAGTGGATGCTCTTTGCCATCCTCTATGCATTGAAGATGTCTTGGTGAGTTTCTTTGCTGAAGATGACTCTTGAGAGTGCGTGCACATGACCCCACTTGCTCCTCACCACTGCTTACATAGCTTTGAAGGCTTGTAGCAAGGCCAGCAGTCATTCTGCGAGCCTGCAAGTAGGCTCCTTCAAAAGAGCGTGACTCCATCGACGCGATGGTATGCAAATGTTTTGAGTTTGTGAAATTCCGAATATTTTACGGATGGGGTGAAAAAGCGCAGCCTTAGATGTGATTGGTGTGAAGGCTTTTATCAACAACAGAACAGTCTTAGAGCTTCGAATTGGATCTATTGCAAGATAGTTGACAGTTTCAAATTTCGAGGATGGAAGTGGTTGCGAAAGGAACTCTGTTTAACTTTGGCTGAAAATATTTAGCCTAGCACTTGAGCTGCTCTTTTTCACTCCATCCGTAAAATCTCCGAGATTTCTCAAATTCAATTCATTTGCATATCTTTGTGTCCAGGAAGTCACGCTCTTTCGAATAAGCCTACTTGCTGGCTCAAAGATTGACAAAAGACTGAGATACTAGCCTGCAAATCGGTGCAGGTCAGTGGTGAGGTGCAGATGGGGTCATTTGCACGCACTGTCAAGGGCCATCTTCAGCAAAGAAATACAACAGCACATTTCCAATGCATAGAAAATGGCAAAGAGCATCCATGTTATCTAAACAGCGTTGTTGGAATGTCTTGAATAGGTTTTCATGTGAAGAAATTTGGCTTGAAGAAGGATATTAAAAGTTCATTTCTGAAAAAAAATCAAAACAAAATTCAAGTTTGGGTTTTTTTTGGAAGTTATCACTATCTGATTTTTGTCCTCGATCAGTTATTAGGTTGACCTGAAATTAATGTCCGTTTTGATTATCAGCCGCAACAAGTCATACACTTTTTATTCCTGAATAGCTTTCAAGGTACCATTTGTTAGAACAAAGCGAGCTCTACAAGATGGCTTTCTTGTTTTAGCAAGAGCTCTGATCCACCTCGAGTTTCGAGCCAAAAACTAAAAAGATTCAACTGCCCGAAACATCAAGAAAAATCGTAATTCAGTTCGTAAGAATTCTACAAAAATTTTAACTTGCTCACGTAAACACTCTCCACATAAGACATATATGTACGCCTTTGCCATATTTTCTTCCATTTTTGTCCCCACATAAGTAGATGTATACTACAAATCTGTAGAAGTAAAAACGTGGATTTTCAGCTTTTTACAAGCTTTAGTTCTCAAGAAATTTGAATTTTAGTTTGGACCACCTGACTAATGAAGGCTATTCGATATTTCTCGAGAACTAAAGCTTGTAGAGAGCTGGAAATTCACGTTTGTACTTCCACAGATTCGTAGTATACAACCACTTATGTGGGAACGGCACAGCATCACTTTGGCAAATGCACGAAAATTCCGTTTTTTTGGTTTTTAACAGGGAAAAAAATGCAACAGCGGCGTGTATAGATACCTTATGTGGACTGTGTTTACGTGAGCAAGTTAGAATTTTTGTAGGATTTTTATGAACAGAGTTGTGATTTTTCTCGATTTTTTGGGTATTTGAATTTTTTTAGTTTTTGGCTCAAAACTCGAGGTGGATCAGAGCTCCTGCTAAAGCGAGAAGGCCATCTTGTAGAGCTTGCTTTGTCCTATCAAATGGTACTTTGCAAGCTATTCAGGAATGAGAAGTGCATGACTTATTGCGGTTGAAATTCAAAACGGACATTAATTTCCGGACAACCTAATATATGATACAGTATGCTTACCTGTCCGGAAAACTTATGTTTTCACTCCAACAAAAGACCTAGAAATTTTTGCGTTCGAAGAAGTATTGTCCGCGACATTGTGACGCGGCCATTTTCGCACTTTGTTAAAGAAAAACTTTAAAAATTTTTGGAATACATGTTTTTCTGGAAGTGCAACGTGTGAGTTGCAGCTTTTGAGGAGCTCTACTACCCTATGCAATACATCATTTTTCCATCTTTGTTTTCCATCTGAAAACAAGCGACGAAAAAAGGAGGCCGACTTGTCCGCAACTTCTTGGCGGTCACTGTACGTTATGGTTACATACGATCAGCAAGCAGATATAACTTTTATATCTTTCTAGGTAATAGTTTATTATTCAAAGAAACATGATGGAGATGTGTAAGCTCCAGCGTATTTTGCTGCTTACGGCGGATCATTTGACACTGTGTGGCTTACTCGAACCTTCTCTAATGCTTACTTGCCCCCAAAAATATGAAAACCCGATTTTCGACATCCAATTTGGTTCGCTTCGAATGATGTAGCTTCAGTCAATCCGCTGCTCTCGCAATCCGTAATTCTCGGCCCATTTTGGAGATTGTGGCTAGAATCAGAATCGCTTTCGATAAGCTGAGCAGGTGTGCAAATTGATAGATGGCTCGGTTACGTGTTGCTTGTCGCACAGAAAATGCTGAATTTTCATAGCACATATACTCGATGTTTTTCCATTGTACTGATGCACAGAAATATTTCACACTACGGCATTGCTTAAAAAAGATTGGCTAAACTTCATTTTACTGTGATTCATGAAGGTTAGGCAGGCGATTGTTATTGGACCTAGGGAGATACTCTGGGGAGCACGGAACAGCTTTTGATAATTTTTTTCGGTCCTCGTTTCAACTTTGCAACTTCTATTTGAGGTCCAATTCTTGAAAATAGTGGTTAAGCAATGTAAAGAGCGTTCGTGTTCTCTCACGGGGCTCATGGGCCTTTATAAAATGCCTCATATCATAGTTTTCTCCTTGTTGAAAATTAACATGCACCAGTAACTGCAGTTGTATGTTTTGCTGTGGGTTTATAAACTGGCGAGGTATATAGATTACAAGCAAGTCTTCAGCTGTATAATCACAAAAAAAAATACAGCTTGGGGTTTGATTATGATCATCAGGTAACTTCTATTAAGTTGTCACATAATTTTTTTTCAGTTTTGACTTTCTGAAGCAATAACGCACACACTTCTCAATTCTGCTTACAATGCATGGTACCGTTCGATAGAGCAAAGCAAGCTCTATAAGATGGCGTGTAGGCGTTTGCACCAGCTTCAGCATATCACGAGTTAGAAGCCGAAATCTGAGAACTTCTGGATGCCCAAAAATTGAAAATTTTCTGTAACTTTGCCCGAAGAAAACTTACCAAATCGCAAACCCGCTCTCGCATATACACTTCACAGATCGCATTCATATGAGCCGTCGCTGTGTTTGTTTCTGCGCTAGAAACCGAGAAAACTAAAATTTTCAAGCTTCTAAAAAAGTGATGCTGCGCTGTTTTCACACAGGCAAATTATACTACAGGCCTACAGAAACAGTCACAAATTTCCGGCTTTCTATAAGCTCTAGTTCCCAAGAAATTTCAATTTCAACGTCTACTACCTTAGCAAAAAAGCTAGCTTTATGATATTAGTCTACAACAGATATATGACATGCAGGTCTGTTGCTGATCAATCGTTAGTGTGAAGACATAGATGCAGATGCTGAAGCCGGTCATCTAGAGTTACCATTCAGCATTACATTAGCAAGAAAAGCAGCTTGAAATTTTGCGTGAGGGAATGAAGCAAGGTACTGCTTTTTAACGACCTCTGACTGTATTGGTTCAAAAACGAGTCTACTATGTCTTTTGCAATATTTGTCTCTTTTCTTTTGCACAGCTCTATTTTATGCATGTTCTCTTTTTGCAGAGATGTTCAGCTCCTCCCTTACAGTGAGTAGAGTACAGTATATGCATGTATTATATCTGGGACAGTTTAGAGGAGCAAGCATAATTCTTACAAGGGAAGGAAAGTTGGTCGAAGTGGCTTTCTGAGATGAGATGTACATATTCTTGTAGAACGTGGAACGCTGATTTCACTTCTGGGAGAGGAGTTACGGAGGTTTTTGTGAGTAAAAATTTAAATACAATCTTAGTGTAAAATCAGTCGTAGCCTTTTCTTAACATTCAAATGAGGCAGCAACGAGTTGTTATACTCAAATGATTAATAATTGGTGTACCAAGTGATCCGACTGCCATTAAGCCTTAGGGAAAATGTTAAGATTGAATTTACACCAATTTTGCAAGTAACTTTTTACTCACAAAAACCTTCGTAATTCCTCGCGCAGAAGCCGCTGCAGATAGCGAAGGTAGATTTGGAATCAGCGTTTCAAGCTCTACAAGATAGTATACTTCTCATTTTAAGAAACCACTTCGACCAACCTTTCTTTCCATAGACTTTGACACAGAGAGCTATGATTAACTCTCAAGCAACCATTTCTTTTCCCTCTTTCGTACTCAGTAGAGTTTTACGCACATTTGAGCCTTTAGGAATTTCTACCATTGTCAATGTCAAATACATCAAAATTCAGATATTTATTCGTTTAGCGTAAAAGCACCAAATTCCTATTTACTACCTATGTACTATACTACTTTCTACCTACTATCCACCGGGTGTCCTACATGTGACACGGGAATTAATCTATAACAATAACAGTTTAGGCACTAAAAACAGTCAAGACAATTCACTACACATGCACTTTTCGTATCGATGTGTTGCAGCAAACAAGCTGCAAATTGAGAAAATGTCAAAATGATATTGCGCAAACATTAATACAAATGAACAGTCTAGCGTCTTCTCCTAAAAAGACAATTCTAAGAAGGAGAATCTTTGGGTTGGTTTGTGGAAACAACGGTATGACGAAACCTGCAATCAAACTCCTCTGAAAGAGGATCTAGCAATGCAAAACAACCCGATCAAACAAACCGCCGTTAACACTGAATAGTTTAAACACAAAAGAAACAAACTGGGACCTCATCAAATCTTTTGAATGTAAAGAAAGTCGTAAGACATAGAAAGTACAGAAACAACTAGTCGAGCTCAAGGTTTCTGAACCCTGTATTCAAAGCTTCAAGAAGTTCATCGTAATCCTTTTTGATTTTTTCTTCACCATCCTTCACCGGATCTTTGAACTTCATGGACGATAACTGATACATGAGATCACCCAAGTGATCCCTGATAACTGCCCAAGTCACCTTGTTTTCCGTTTGGGCAGTGCTTTCTACTGCGTGCCGGGCCAAATCGTAGAAGGCAATCATGTTCTTGAGCATTCCGACAGTTTTGTAAAATGGACAGAAGCGATCGTATGGAGTGTAGCCGTTTTGCTGCAGGAAATCATCTTTGATGAGTTTGGCCACTTCCAGAGTGATTTTGTCGCTTTCTGCAAGGGACGCTTTGCCGACCAGCTGCACAATTTCTGAAAGATCTTCTTCTTCTTGCAAAATCTCCTTACACTTTGTTCGCAGTGCCACGAATTCAGGAAATGTCTTCTCGTAGTACTCTTCCAAAGCTCGCATATACTTGCTGTAGGAGATCAACCAGTTGATTGAAGGGAAATGCTTTCGTTGAGCCAACTTCTTATCCAAACCCCAGAACACCTGCACGATACCTAGGGTAGCGGAAGTAACCGGATCTGCGAAGTCACCACCAGGAGGCGACACAGCTCCCACAATTGTTACCGATCCTTCACGTTCGGGACTGCCGAGACATTTCACCTTGCCAGCACGTTCATAGAAGGAAGCTAGTCGAGCAGCCAAGTAAGCCGGGTATCCTGAATCGGCAGGCATTTCACCCAGTCGACCGGAAATCTCACGAAGTGCCTCAGCCCATCGGGACGTTGAGTCAGCCATCATGGCAACGTGCAAACCCATGTCACGGAAGTACTCGGCTAAAGTGATTCCTGTGTAAATGGAAGCCTCTCGAGCGGCTACAGGCATGTTGGAAGTGTTCGCCACCAGGGCTGTTCGCTTCATGATTGAAGTTGTGACTCCTTCGACTTCCATAGTCAGCTCAGGAAAATCACGCAATACCTCAGACATTTCGTTGCCTCTTTCTCCGCATCCTACGTATATGATGGCGTCAGAGTTAGAAAATTTGGACAAGGACTGAGAGATCACAGTCTTTCCACAACCGAAAGCGCCGGGGATTGCCGTGGTTCCTCCTTGTACACATGGGAAAAGAGCATCCAGCACTCTTTGACCGCACAGCAGGGGGAAGTTGGCAGCAAGCTTCTCAGCGCATGGACGGGGTTTTCGTACGGGCCAGATCTGAAGCATCGTTAGCTTTTCTTTGTTACCTTCAAACTCCAGCTCTAGCAGCACATCTTCGATAGTATATTGACCAGACGGGGCGACGTAAGTAACGGTACCGCAGGAGTTTGGTGGGATCATTATCTTGTGCTTAATCAGTAGATTTTCTTGTACAGATCCGATCACATCACCTCCAGTCACATGGGATCCGACAGTAATTTCTTTGTTTGCAGTGTAGTCCCATCGATTATCACGAGACAACGCTCGAGTTGACACTCCTTTCGGAATGTAAATTGACTTTGTCATATCGGCGATTTCTTTCAAAGGACGTTGAATTCCGTCAAAAATCGCACCCATGATTCCAGGGCCGAGTTCGACAGACAGCGGTTTTCCGGTTCGAAGTACAGGGTCGCCAATCGTAACGGATGAAGTCTCTTCGTAAACTTGAATCGTTGCAAAATCGCCTTCCAAACGAATGATCTCGCCTACCAGTTCGGAGTGACCGACACGGACCAGCTCGTACATCGCCGATCCTGCCATCTTTTCGGCTGTCACCACAGGTCCTGACACTCCGTAAACGAATCCATAGGTGCCCTCCGAGACGGGGCCATCGGGAATTTGAGCCATTGGAGCCATAGCAAATCTGAAAGAAAGGTACTGAGAAAGGGATGTGAGCACTGAATTGTATTTAACATGCGGCGAATATCTTAGGAAAGCTTGGAGTGCAAAATCGGTTTTTCCAATGATGCAATCAAATTCATACAATGCACGGTAGCACAAATACTGCACTAATATATTCCAAGATGAGACTGAGATTATTCTGAGAGTTTACGTGTGTAAGTTAAAGTAGAAGTTGTTGTGAATTTATGAGTGGCAGGCTCATGGCTGCGCTGAATTTATATGGGTTGTCTATCTTGCAAAAAGCACTTGAAATGAGATTATATGCATTTTCAACGACACCAAAAGTACAGAAAGAACGACATTTGTTGGAATCATTGTCAACGGAAACGAAGCAGAATTGTTTGCTTTCAATTTATCTATGTTTACAAGTATTTGCGACTTTGATTCGAACTTATGAAAGGCAAAGACATAAGCAACTAGTCGTTCGTCTATGTAAAGATTTGGTGCATTTGGCAAAATTTGAGTGCAACAGAGATTAGGTCAGTAAGAATGACTGTTTCAAAGTTGATAGATGGTTTTCTCGCAAAAGTTAGCAAAAGTTAGTACCAGGGTAAAGCGGGGGGTGCGGCACGCCGCAGAGGGGGGGGTCGTATTGAGGAGTCAAAAGGGGAGGGGGTCGTAGTTAGGTGATCTGATTATAGCGATAACATGATATTCGTATCATATCCATAATTAGCACGTCAATTAACCCCTGTAGACAAAGTGTGAGCGAATTCTGAAGATTCAAGATACTAGGCTACCTAAGTGAAATGGTCAAATTCCAACATGGTTAACTTTGTTTTAAAGGTGAATTAGCTATCCGTTTTTGCACTCAAGACAAAGCACTACTCCTTCTTTGTCCACCTCAGGAATCCCGCTTCAGAAGGCCTCCAAACTGTGGAATTAGAAGCCAACCAAAATCTCATTTTTCCCATTTTTCGCTTTTGATGGCTGTGCTTTCACCAAATATTACTCAGAGCTAAGAAGACGAATCAGGCTCAAAACATCCCTATGGAATCTATGAGGTTTAGGCTATCGATTCATATAAATATTGTCCGCTAAAAATGTTTTTTTGATATAGTTAATGGCCTGCGGCACCCCTGCGGCACCCCTGCGGCAGCCGCAGGTTTTGAGGGGGGGGGGTGCCGCAGGCCATTAACTATATCAAAAAAACATTTTTAGCGGACAATATTTATATGAATCGATAGCCTAAACCTCGTAGATTCCATAGGGATGTTTTGAGCCTGATTCGTCTTCTTAGCTCTGAGTAATATTTGGTGAAAGCACAGCCATCAAAAGCGAAAAATGGGAAAAATGAGATTTTGGTTGGCTTCTAATTCCACAGTTTGGAGGTCTTCTGAAGCGGGATTCCTGAGGTGGATAAAGAAGGAGTAGTGCTTTGTCTTGAGTGCAAAAACGGATAGCTAATTCACCTTTAAAACAAAGTTAACCATGTTGGAATTTGACCATTTCACTTAGGTAGCCTAGTATCTTGAATCTTCAGAATTCGCTCACTCTTTGTCTACAGGGGGTATTTGACATGCTAATTATGGATATGTTGTCCATTATGTTTGATAGAGCCTTCAGGTAATACTATCTTAAGTGTATAGTTTAGGAGGGGGTCTTATTAAGACAGCAATCAGGGGGGGGGGGTCGTATCCGACGGTCGAGTGCCGCACCCCCCGCTTTACCCTGGTTAGTACCCTAATTTCACGCGTATAAGGCGCATTTTTTCGAATTTTCAAGCGAGCCGCTCAGCCCCTTCAGTGTATTCCGGAAAGATCCTTACATCGCACGATTCTCTCAAGCAATATACAGCACGTTATAGGGTCCTTTGGTTGTAAAGTCCTTTGGCTTGCCTGAGCTGGTCGATTTTGGAAAAAAAACCCCGCGTCTTATACGCGTGAAATTAGGGTAAGTTTTGGAGGGTGTCTAAGCCGGAATGCTTCACGATAAATAATATTCTTTTGCAAGGCGTGAGGTTAAGCTTCTACTTTCTTATCTTTGCGATATGGAGTTCCACAAAAGTGTATTTAGGACTTCAGTATGTAACACTGGAGATCCAAGCAAAATGCTTGGGATTCAGATGCCGTAGGGCAGCTCAAAGAATCCCCGAGATCACAGCATGATAACAGATCGTATAGGAACAAGGTGAGGATGCCCTAGTCGACACCTTAGACGCATGAAATTAACTTATATACTCATTTTTGAATGGCACTTTCACGACGAAATTTCTCATGTCATTCAAGCAAAATTAGGTGGTATAACTTTGGGTAGTACACATTTCTTTGAGTTCTTCTTGAAAACTGAATAATCGGAAAGTGACAGTGATTAGAAATATTGGTGTGCGTTAGTATTAGGTTGTTGCAAAAATAATGTCCGTTTTGCAAAATTTCACTTTGAAAAGCTATAACTTCGTTCAGTCTTCATATTTTTGAATGCAATCAAGACCATCAGATGCAGTAAACCTTTCGTAATCTAAGGCGCACCTGCATATACTGATATCGCAAACGAGAAGAAAACCATGCGTCAAAAATCCAAAAGTTTTGCTTTTGAAAACCTCGTTTTTGAAAGATTACAAATTCCTTCAAGTTTTGTTGTTATGGCTGCTAATCAGCTTATTTTGTAAACGCAACCCAGTAGTATACGTTTGTATAAAAAGAACTTTAGCGAAGAAGTTCTGCGAATTAAAAAAGATAGAAATCCAAAATTATTCACTTTTTTAAGCCTATTTGTGATAGGCTTGGAAGTCCCAAATTATGAAAACTTGGAATTCTTCATGCACTGAATAGTTAAGTTTTTCTGCATAAATTGTGGATAAGATGTCCTTACCTTAAGCCTACAGAAATGAGCGAAGTTTCAGCGATTGCCCTAATCAGGAAAAATTTCGAACCCATAGAGTTCCAGGCAGCGAGTATCTTTTTTGAAGCTCGATTTGTCAGTTCAGGTATATTCGAAAACCTTATTTAAACATGCAATAAGTAAACAATATTTATCCTATACAGTAGCTATGTTTTCAGAAGAATTCGTTTATTTGCGCCTGAATTGTGGCCAAGAAAGTTGGAGCAGTGAAATTTCGATTTTGAGTGCGGCTGTTCAAAATGCTGGTGAAAATCTTAGAGATGAGATAAAAGTTGATTGCACCACCGTTAGAAAGTATATGAAGAAAGCTTTCCAATGATGTGCAAAATCTGTATCGAAAAGAAAGCCTGAAGGAGAAAAATCGTTTGGAATATACGCCTAGAAAAACGGACATTATTTTTGCAACAACCTAATATTTTTAATTAGTAACTAGTATGTTGAAATCTTCTCATTTAGTACAAATGCTCCGAAATTTTGGCGGTGCTTATTTGTGGATCCTGTGCTTTGAGCTTTGGATTTTGGTAATGATTCTTTGATGAATGAACTGATAGTCACCGTTCTCGCTGCGCTTATGTTTTGGCAGCCATGAAGAATGAACCTCAACGCACCAGTGGAACCTCCGCTAAACAATTTTGAATGGAATGGAAAAACTACTAATAATAATAGTGTTACAGACATAACCCGACCCCTAACATTCTTACATCATTGACCATTTTCAACCCAAAACGGAGATGAATTCCCGGTTTATTACAACTACACCTACTCTTGCCCAATCATTATTCTGAGAGCTTTCGCGTCACTAACAATCAGATGCCAGATCACTGAAGATGAGTTCCTGCTTGTTGTCCACACCTCTGGGGGAATTGAGTAAAACATTGGGCATCGTGCTTGCTCGGTCCCTTCAACTGGCCTTTTTGTACGCAACTAAACGGCTGTTATAGTATTCACGGGATTTTTCCAAATTGCACAACGGTATGGCATTATCTAAGCTGAAAGAAATCAAAATACAGCTTTTATATGAGATAGTTTGTCAAAATAATTTGACATTCACTTGATTCCATTACTTTGAGACTGGTATTCCAACTCTATAATGTTATCAAAGAAATCGAAAATGAGCAGTGTGGTCGATAAAAGTATTTATTTGGACTTGAAGAGCCCGAATCCGTTGATACGAACATAATATTACAATCGTAATGCTCTTGGTGCTCATCCTATGCGCTCATGAACTGAGAATAGTCTAGTCAAAATAGATATGACTTTGTAGCATGAGTTGTTTGAATGAAGTATGTGACAAAATAATTATGAGACGAAAACGAAAAAAGGAAGAACAGATCTGTTTTAGAACAGATGGTCAGCACCCAGAATGTCAACGATACAGTCTTGAGTGTAACAGGCAAGACTTTGGCTCTGAGACGTATGACCAACCCAACAAACTAATTGTAAACCTGTTCCATTTGATTTTTCATCATTATGTCATCTGCACATGTACAATCGCCAAAATGGGGTCCGAAAAAATGTACAGGACAGATCCAGTAAATGTCGTTTGATATATAGCGTTGTATTGTTCGATTTCGAATTGAAAAGTAAAAATGCTGTTTGGTAAAAGAACAGTTTTGCCATCGTCCCAAAGGCATTTTTGTGAGAGGGAGGGTAAGGAAAAGGGAATATAAAATGTTTTGCGAGAAATTTTCAAATTTAGAGTTCCGCTGCACTTTATAATATTTTACAGCATAAAGCGAAAATACACTGAGATAAATATATTATTTGGTAATGGATGTAAACATCTATCTAGATGTATCTAGATAAAAACAAACGTGTGTTTTTTGCCGATCTGTGGATAATGAAACACTTGAGTTTGATACGATCCATAAATGTAATTAAGATAAATCCGATCTAAACATTATCACCAAAAATATCAAAAAATATAAAGTGCTATATTATGAAGTGAGCCTATCACATATCATAGATTTTGAAGTGAAGTTCAATGACGACACAGTGTGAACAGATGTGTGTTGGACATGACTTCGCTCCAATTATGGACCAGTTTGCAGATACGACAAAAACGCTTTTGTAAAGAAGTGTCGATAACGTGATTCCGCATTATTGCTAAAGGT